GCCAAATTCAAAACCTCTCAAGAGATAAGGTACATTTATTTCAGAGCACAATGAAGCTGAAGGAAAAACGTAAACATGAATATAAGAAAAGTACTTACAGGAGAAAGAGAAGAATGAAGAAAGCTTGACCACAAGATGACTTGGTGGAAATGTCAATGAATGAAGATTAAACCAGAATTGCCTATGTTTCATGAAGCCATAAGCAAGCCACAATAAACACAGCTGTTGATGTTTTCACTATGGTTTCAATCATAATCTTTCCATTTTTACCTTTGCAAAAAGAAACAGCATGGGGTTGCTTTCATCTTGTGAACACATGTTCACATGAAGAAAGCAGTCTTCTGGGATATGGCACCATATAGATGTGGTGTTAATCGACGTTTCGGAGGAACGTATCGCCTCGAGCTTCAGGGTAGAAGGAAAAATAAGAAAACCCGCAAGCGAAGAGACCGTGAGAACCGGTACAAGCAGACTGGTGTTGGAATTCCAACGTTCCTCTGAAACGTCGGTTAACACCACATCTACACGGTGCCACATCCCAAAAGACTGCTTTTTTCATAGTCACCGCCGTGAAAACCTCAAATCTTACACATGTTCACATGTTATAGTAAAAGGATAAGAATACAACTCCTTAACAGAGAATGAAACATTGTCATCATATTATTATTTTACTGTTTGCCCAAAAAGAATCCAACACCAAATAAAATGGTTATATAATGACAATACATAATTATAACCAGAGTAAAATGCTGTGGTAAGAGACCTGTTAATGTGATAGTATGAATCACAACCCTTCCACAAACAACTGTCTTCAAACTTAAGCTCATTATCTTCACACACATACATATACACATATATATTTTTAAAAAAGAAGAGTTCACACACATACACAAAAACTTGTATGTCATCCTCATTGGTCCAGATATGTGGTACAATTCCACTTAAAAATAATACACATATCCCAGGGCATATATTCAGTCTCGAACACTGAATGTAGTTGCAAATATTTTGCCTCCACTCTGACATCTCCAGATTTAAAATCACTAATTTTATTTAGCTGTCCACCAGAAACATAGAAACTGTACATAACATTTTATGTCCAACAGGTAAGTACATGTAATGCTATTAAATAGATATCATATTAATTGAAATATTAATCAATGTCAATTTGCAGTGTTCAAAATCTAGGTTATTGAATAAAGGTGGCATATCAATATGTTTGATGCATAAGATACAAAGCAAAGACATCACAGTGCCAAGTTTAGATGGGTAAGGGATTCCATTCAGTTCAGTCTGTGCCACAACTCGACCAATAACAGGTATGGACCTCAGATGCAGCACTTCCTAAGGATGGAAAGCCTAACAAGTGACTTTTCGTGAATGGTAGAGTTTTAGACGATGATGACAATGGCACATCAGGAAGAAAGATACAATTCTTGGAAAACATTCTTAAAATTTCAGTGATTTCANGCGTGGCATGTCTTCTGTTGACATGTTGCCAGATTTGAAACGGGAAAACCACTCGTAGACCTGTGATTTCCCCAAAGCATCATCATTAAAGGCTTGCCGAAGCATCCCAACAGTCTCGGCTGCAGTTTTCCCTAACAGAAAGCAAAATTTCACGCACACTCTTTGTTCCTTCTGGTCGGCCATCTCACTAATCGCCAAAGGGTTGAAACAGGAACGCACACAACAGAGCACCACAGACAAACCACTTAACTCAGACTGACGCCAGCTCACTAACAGTCGCGGGAGACCCCCAGCTAACACCACCTAGCAGCACAACTCGTAACTACTAAGCATGCGCGCGCAACAGGTCGTTTCCGGTTATTTTTGGGTCCCCCCTCATACATGCTGTTAGCATTTATTACATGTATCATGTTATGACATTATCCTTACAGTTGTTAAATCGTCACAATGTACAAAAATGCTGCCATGTTACTTATGGAGGTACAGCTTCACACATTCTTAACCCTTATAGGATGTATTCCTGCTGGCTGAGCAATTGCATTTTTCAGTCCCAATACTATTGAAGTTGTATAGCCAACAGCCCTGTTAAACCTCAATTCCTGGATAATAAAATGTTAAGTTAAAATATAACTACAAACTACACAGTACCAAGAAGTTTAAAATCCATATTGCCCGATGAAAAGGGTTTACCTTCACACTAACGGGGCTGAGCATCCCTCTACCTACTTAACGGAAGGCTGGGTGTACTGCAGACATGTACTAAGATATGTCAAAGAGAAAATTTCAAATGGTCCTGCTGGAAATGAACCTCATATACTGGGTCCATAGCCTATCATCTAGATGACTGCAGCACTGTGGCTCAGAATTGCTACATAATGTTTTTAATGACATAAAATGACAAAACACATGCTGCAATCCTTTGAATTCCACTTTCATTATTTACGAATATTCAACATGGGAACCTAAGTGAGAGTCACCTGCGTTTTTTGCAGACTCTTTACTGCACATGATGATGGTCACCAGTCTACTGCAGACCCTGTATCATGAACCACAGCAGTCACCAATATCTGCTATAGACCTTGTTTGTACCTCATACCATGGATATCGCCAGTGTCTCCTGCAGATCTTCTACCACGCACCATGGCAGTCACCAGTGTTTGCTGTACTCTTGTCACTTCATGCCATGCCCATCACTGGTGTCTGCTGAAGACCTTGAACCTCATCTCATGGCCATTATCAGTCTACTGCAGACTGCAGTCACTGATGTCTACTGTAGGCCTTGTACTTTGTGTGATGGCCATTACCAGTTGTCTGATAGAAACGCTTTACTTCGCTACCACAGAAGACAAGTGTCCAATTCATAATGCCCTAGCATGTTTTCAAACCACTACCATGTATACACTAGTTCCATGCAAGCTTTAGAGTAATGCATCTGCTATGGCCTGTAGGAACCATATTATCAAAAACTGCAGTGGGCTGGGACAAAAAAATATGTAAGTCATGTGTTAAACAACATAAAAGATAAAATTTGCATTATGCTAGCACACAATCTCCTGAAGCACAATGGAAAGGTTCCACATATTCTATACCCTGCCACAAAATGAAGTAAAAGTGGTCAGCATCACATTCTGGCCACTTTGTCACTAGTGAAACAGCCCTCTGTACCAACTGGACTGGAGGAAGGGTGATCTCAGAGCAGACCTGACTGTTGTGGAGGGAAGAAAAGTTTCTGCCCTTACAGTCAAATACCAGATATCAAATGTTGAGCCAAAAACTTTATTACTTGAACTATCCTGGCTTATTAATAAGACTAAAATGATGCAAACATCTGTGAACAGGAGAATGAAGTTAAACCACTGGAACATCAATTCCTTGTTTAAGATACTGCAAGTGGATGGAACAACTACAAGCATTCACACTGAACAATCAATTGCAGCTGGGTTTTCAAGGTAGAGGAAAGATATAATGCACAGTCTTCTAGTTACAAATATATTCTCCAGCAATGAAACGAAATAAACACAACATCTCTATTGAGAACTCTGTAACTTCAGAATTAAAAAAAAAGTTCATTACAACAGATATTAACCTACTGACATACAAGCCCCTGCATAATTTACCTGACCTCAGTATTTTCATCAAAATACCTGATCTATTCCCAGTGTATATTTTCCAATACAGCATTAATTACATGCACAAAATAATCACATATTCTTCAATTTCAGTATAAAGGCAATGGATACAATTTCAGATTGCATATTTATATGCACATTTGGGTAAATCTTTCTTAAATATCCCTTAAGTTCAAATGCTATCACATTTTGTTTACTTTCTGAGAAATACATGACAGTCACCAAAAGCCATATCAATAGAACTGAAATATGTATTTTTATCATTTGATATCATTTTCTCAAAGTCAGAGTTACTTTACAACTGGTGGTTTACCACCAATTAGTTCACCTTGGCCCCAAGCCCCTTGAGAATCATGACCACCAATTTTTCATTTTCAACTGAACCCTTATGGTCTCTTATCCTCTTGACAGAATTTATGAAGGTGAATAAATGAAATGGTCATTGTCCCTATGTAACATCCTCTCTGATGAGAAGATAGGTCTGTCATTTACAACTGCTGCTGGCCCTAAGCCAGAGTAGTCATTCTCAGGTCCGAGTCCCATGGGACTCATGACCATATTTTACTCTGTAAGATTTGAGACTCAAGAGTCAGAATCCATATTATTCTCTATGTGAATCAATTTTAGCATTACTGTCTATATCCAGAAACAACACAAGAGAGAGATATGTAAGCAAAAAAGTTTATGTTACTCTTACAGGGTGAGGCCATGAAGTCTGTATTAATAACAGAATTTATCTATTTAACAACACAGTACATAGCTTGAATTATACACCACTGAAATACAGACTGAACTGAATGAGTTTCCTTGATATTTGTGGAAATCATGTTAAAATGTTAAACATGGAATTATATTCTGATTGGGAAAACATATCCTAGCCAAAAGTGGACACCTCAGAAAAATATGAGGTAAGAGTATATTTTTGGTCACAGTTTTTTATACACTTTCTTTTTACTTCAATCATTCATTAAATCACTTCATGCTATTATCAACAGTTCTCGGGTCCAGTGAAATGTCCCTGCAATGTGAACCAAATGTACATCCAAAATGAGTGCTACTGCAAGGAGTGTGATGGTGGTCTGTGTGTTGTGCTCACCAAAACCCTATTGTGACTGAAGGTACTGAATCCAACAGTGTTGGGTGAGTAAGACATATCACTTCATGCTATTATCAACAGTTCTCGGGTCCAGTGAAATGTCACTGCAATGTGAACCAAATGTACATGCAAAATGAGTGCTACTGCAAGAAGTGTGATGGTGGTCTGTGTGTTGTGCTCACCAAAACCCTATTGTGACTGAAGGTACTGAATCCAACAGTGTTGGGTGAGTAAGACATGATCTACATACACAAACAAAGACTTCTCCTCCCATCCAGTGAAGTTTGGAGTAATAAATGTTTGACTTTTGCAAATAAAATTCTACAGTCCAAGAAGCAATATGCAAATCATAATTAGGGGCGAATGGAATGTGGGATGGAACTGCAAGTGCAGCTTGGCCAGGCATCAAAGTAATGGAAAAAAAAAAAAAACTGTCCCTGCAACAGGCCATGAAAGCCCATAGGAGTGTGAGACATCGAGGCTCCCAAGACATCAACGTGGGATATAATAATGTTTATGTAAGTACTGTGCAACAAGTTTCTGTTTAACAATAAAACTAATCTGGTGCAAATAAATCCATGAAATTCACATAAAAAAGATTATATATTTCTATTGGATGACGTGTTCATTATGTCATAAATTTTGTTTTACTGAAACTCATAAACAACTGAGACTTTTTATAGCATGTTGCAATTAGAATTTAAAACTACCATTCTAAATTTGAGCTGACTACCAGTCCCATGTCCAGAAGGTTAAAAGAAGGAAATGTTGGGTCCTGCAACTGCTAAAACATACCTGAAGGCCATTAGCATATATTAACAAAATGGAGGCAGACAGAAACTAAACCTACATGGTTCATGATCCTTGGATTCAGAAATTTCAGTGGCAGTTTTTATGCTTCTTGCCATGTAACTTGAACAATACATCCAAAGGTCATAGGATCACTTATACATTCTGTAATCTACTGTCTTTTCTTAGAAAGGTAGGTGGCATGACTACCAGTGTGTAGCCATTAATATATATTAAACATCATATGTTATGGAAAGAATCTCTGGGTTTGGACGTACAGAAGCTTTCACACAAAAAAGTGCTTGTCAAGGTGACACTAGTTCTATGTATCTGGCTTGTACCACCAAAAACATTTGCTGTTTAAATAAAATTACAAAAGTAATTGTTTTTATAACTATCTTTTTGTCCTGCCTTATGAGACATTACACACACACAAAAAGGAGGAAATTCAGAGTGGCAGAACTGAAGAAAAAATCAATAATTACACAACAAACCAAAGGTTACATTACAAAACTGTAACTTAGATTGTTAATATACGAAATACAGTAAGACATAACTTTCCTCTACAGTCCCTTGATGGTCATACTGCAGGTTTATCTATAACAGATATGGAATTAAGGGATGTTCCATGTAAATCGTTATTAGAACCTCTGAACTTATCTAGGGGTCATGCTGCATCACAGCCTGTCGATAGTGTCACATAACATACATACATGTGTGTGTGTAAGGTTACCATTTAAGCTGATCGTCCACTTCACACAGACCAACTTCACACCTGAAATGAACAGTATAGTGGAATCAATACTCCATGATCCACATTCTGACCTGATGCAAACTTGCAGCCATACATGAAGAGTTTCATTGACAGGACTTGACTCTCAGTCCTGATCCGTGAGGATAACTTTGTGTATGTGCAGATGCTGCAGCAGTCTGGATCCATTCAAACATGTTTCAGGCATTTTAGCCATAGTTTGACTCCTGCTCTCCACACATACACACGTGGGTTATATTTGTGGTGAGCTCTAGTAGTGAGGTTCTTTTTTTCTATTCTAACAGCCACATGAATACATTTTTCTTTTCACACATCCAACTTTTAACCAATTTTAAATGGTAATCAGATGTACTCATTAATGAAATACTATTAACATACACTATTGCATAGCATATGGCCTGGGTTTTCTCTTGTGAATAAATCATTTCCTTGATGAAAAAACTGCAGTCAAGCTTTTAGCCAAAGCAAGACTTTTCTCCTGAGTAGACCTGCAGACTTCTTCACAGTTTTCCTCTCACTAAGAAGAGGCTTTAAGCACATTAAATCTGGGGTGTTATGCGTTTTTTCTCTGGATCCCTATTTCACATTACTGGCAGACACAGGCTTTTATCCATCACCAGCTTTAACCACAAACTATTAAGCTAGGGAAAAGTTCACAGATAAAAACGTGTGTATGGCCTGCTTTTGCATGTTACTTATATCTGTTTCTATGTGAGGAAAGAAATTTTGTTGTTTATTAACATTTCTATGCGGGTCATACACATTAAAATCTACGTAAGCAACTAAATTACTGCATTCCAACCACTCCATTTCTTCAGAGAATAAGAACAGTATTTCTGAAATTACACAGAACCCTGTCAACAAAATTTATAGTTCTATTAAGTACCTTACAATTTAAATATTTTAAACTCAATTTTACTGAAGAGTTTAGAGCTCAGAATGTGAAATGCAACTGTCAATATTTATAATTATAAACTGCATTTTAACACATATATCCTTAAAGGTGATATGCATTTCATTCCTACAATCTAAGTTGTTTAAATAAGAGATGAGACCAGTTTAACATTTTAACTCGATTTCAAAGTATGTGTAGCAATAGATGAAATGAGACTGTAATTATTAAAGCTGGAACATAATCTTTTGATACAATACTATTCTACCTTCACCATACAGTTTTATATTTATTCAGATAATGAGCAGATGTTCACTGCTCTAAAAACAAGTCGTACAATTGCAACACAGAAAATTATAATGGCAAAAAGATTTAAACATATTACTCCTTACTGAAATATTATAAATCAATTCTAATTTATGGTAAATCTTTTTTCTTTTCATCTGCTCTCCAAGGTTGCAATGAAAATATAAATATTTTGCTTATAATGTAGGAGATACATTTTATATTAGGATTAAAAGTGTACGGGCTGGAAACTTTAGATGTATACAAAACTGTGTCATCATCATTGTATGTACACTTAAAAAATTACCATAAGTCACCCTTCCCCCTGCTTTGCAAAGCTGGTAGCAGATATCAGCATAATATGAATAGTCCCCAGATAAGAAAAAGTAACATCACAATACTACAGCAAGACCTGGACTTATACCAAAGTAAGAGATAGCTAAGAGTCCATTTCTGTAGAGCTTCAAAAGGCTCATCAGAACTAACAGCTGCTGCCAAATCAACAAGTCATACATAGCAAAGCCCCTTCCTTCTTCTTGGGTGACAGATGTCGTGACTTCTAAATTTCACTCATCTTTGGATTTTTCTGCAGATTCCTGCTGACTCCCTTCTTCTTCCTCATCAGAGTAATTATTCGGCTCCTCTCCAGGTTTCAGCAACCGACCAACATAATCATATTTATCTGCAAAAACAAAACAAAGAAAAACCAAGAACTGTTGTAGAATGTCATATACAGCTATATGTTCAGATGGACATATCAGAATCAACGCCATACTGAAATTTCTACAAATACGGCTCTGAAAGCACAAATACAGTGGTTCCCTTGGTTTCTGATGGTTTGACATACGCCGATTTCAACATCCAATGCTTTTTAAAATTTTCTAGTAATTTCCCTTGTTTTCCACAAAATTCTGGACAGCCATTCTCAGTCTTACAAATGAGGAACTGTAAGCTTTGGCTGCATAACTGATCCAGAAACAGCTGAAGCAAGAAGAACCCATTTTATGGTTTACAGAAACCCGTGACATGCAGGAAATTTGGGTGTGACTGCCAAGTACCTGCACAGGTTTGGTAACACTTATCCTGACTGGGAATGCAGTTGTTCTATCCGGAGATGAGTCAATGCAGTGCTGCAGCATCACTACCATGTTCTGTAGGAGAGGATGCATCAAGCAAGGCTAACAGCCTTCATTTCTTATTTTAAAAATAAAGCTGAAGAGCCTCCAATTGATCGGAAGATGGCACAGGATGATCCAGCCAACTCTCATGATCCACAGTAAGTGCGTCCCTCGTCAGTAATGCCTACATATTTATATTTTATTACAGAATATGAGATCTAATTACTTGTATGAGTATATTAAGTTTGTGTTTAAAATATATGAATGTTTTATATTATTTTGTGCTTAGAGCCAGGACAGCAGTTGGTATAGTGATGGCTACGTGCTGGACGACCAAGGGGTGAGAGTTCGAGTACCAGTGTGAGCAAGAATTTTTACTTCTCCATATCATCCAGACCGGCTCTGGGGCCCACCCAACCTCCTATCCAATGGGTACTGAGGACCCTTTCACCAGGGGAAAAGAAGCCTTCATGCTATCTACTGCATTTAACATCCTTAATGTACTACACAGTTTCAAAGAAAATGTGTACAGCTATATAATAAAAACTGTGTACATAAATATTCAATTAAAGCAAATAAAAAGTAAAATTTCCTTCATTCTAAAGCATGAAATTATTAAAACATGTAGGAGACGCTGGAAGTAAAAAGCAAGACATTCTAAGCATCAGCATTAAATGGGAGTGGCCATTTTACTCCAAAGGAAATAAGCTTCAGTACTCACTAGGCTGCAGGCTGGAAGGGTCCTACAGCTAGTCTGAATATCAAGACAAAGAGACATTTCTGTTTGAGATCGGAACCAAACTATTCTGCCTGCAGCTAGTCATTTTATGGACTAAACTATCTAATTCAAAAGATGTATTTGGTGTTTTCTTTTCCACCCTGAGAATCAGCAATATCTATTGCTGCTAGAAGCCCTCCCTCATCCTTCCTATCCCCCTACAATTTATTAATTTATGCTGTCTCTTCCAGCTCTTTATATTTTCCGCTCATTTATTTTTCCCCCCCTTATGGCCTCTGAATCAGCCTACTATGCTTTTCCCAGGCTCTCCTTCATCTCTTTATCAGTTCACTCATATACTATTTCTATCTATTTTCTCTCTAAAAACAACACTTTCAAGGACCAATTTTTTTTTATGTTCTCTTTATTACTACTGGTTCAGTCAAGGCCCAGGTCACAGTATGACCTCTGCCTATAATAATACTACTTTTTCCCATATTCAGCTTACTCTTCTATCCTAAAGATTTAAGCAGCAGTTTCCTCCAAAATGCTGATAATATTCTACAAGAATATATGGTTATCAGATCCCAGAAGATTTACTTCATGTTCACTGCCTTAACAACCTCACACCGACAATGTAGGGCAAGTCAAGGTGTGGAACAACACACAACTTACACCGCCCACGCCTACCGTTCAATTCAAACACATCCTTACTTTGAATGCATACTATATACAGATGCAATTATAAGCAGAACAAAGGAAACTCCTCCCCCCTAACACAATGTTTGTAAACTCCCATCTGTATGCCAGACATCAGCAGAACTGATTCAAGCGGGAGATGAAACATTAGTCTGAGATCCATAAAGTCATTAATTCTATTTGGAGTAAGATAGAATTTGACGCCGCGCCATAACTTAAGTGGTTAGTCGCTGGCTTCTCACCGCAGCGGCCTGGGTTTGATCCTGGGTCTGGTCAAGTGAGATTTGTGGTGGACAAAGCGGAGATGGGGCAGGTTTTCTCCAACCAGCGACCTTCTGGCTTGTAGCATGATGGATAAAAATCATTACCAAAAGTATCCTCCTGTTAGAATGCATCTCAACTTATAACATGGGAGGCATGGAAAAACTGGATTCACACTCTGGCAGTTCATGCTTCAGACACATGTTCCAGTAAACATTCCTTACGTAGTGCCAGGGCATGCTATACTCTTCTTCTGAAATTTCACAATATAACCAATACTAACTGCATTGGCTGCAGTGATCAATCCGAACGGTCTACGGATTTTCTATATTTCTTAGTCCTTTTGTTTGAAGGTTTAATATTACCAGTAATATATCGTGTGGGGCACGCGGTAGCGTAGTTGGTTGAGGGGCTATGCTACAAGCCGGAAGGTCGCAGGTTCAAGTCCCGATGAGGTCATTCGATTTTTTTCAGTTGACCTAATCCTTCCAGCCACACTATGGCCCTGGAGTCAACTCAGCCTCTAACAGAAATGAGTACCAGGAATTAATTACATAATTTTCCTGGGAAGTAAAGTGCGGCCGGCGCGTAAGGCTGACAACCTTACTGCCATGTTTGAGCCGATTGTCTAGATAGTGTGGGACCCTCGTCTCATGACCCTATGGGCCTTCACAGCCTGTTACAGGGATAGCTATACTTTTTTTTTTTACTTTTACATTCATATAATGTGTATATATTCCATCCACATTTTACTGAAATTTTGGGCTTTATCATTCCATATTTGAAATTTATTTCTATTCTTTTTATCAAGTAGCAAGGCTTCCTCAAGATTTCTGCAGTTTTTCTTTCCTAATCATCATCATTCCACGGCAGAAAATTTTGTAACACTGATTTGGTCCATGAGGAAACAACACTATAGAGAATGCCTAGCGCTGAACAAGATGAGATGAGATGATAATGTACAGAATTTCTGTAAATTCTGCTGTGTAGGTCACATGCACAACTCTGCAGAAATATATTTAACAGAAAACATATGGGCTGAATTATCATGTTCCGTTCCTTCCTTCTATATGCTCTGCCTGTGACAGTGCCTACAAGGCCAGGAACCATTCTAAACCAACTAAATCTCTCTCTTAATGTTTATGATTTCCAAACAAAAAGGGGGAACAATATCCATGAAGCAGGGGGAAACATGTCTATGAAGACAGGGAAGGTGAACTACCAACTAGAGTGCAATGATTATATTAGTTTCAATGTTGTAGCACCAGAAATTAAAGGTAGTTTTGTACAGACAGTACATCTGACCAGAACTGTCAGCAAATTCCAAGGCGGCATTTCACTGCACGCGTTTGACAATGGCAGTAGTTATGGCAAGCTTGTATTTCATCGAGAGCTTAGCATGATAGGAGAAGGGACACGAACCTACTTGGTTTATAAATTTTATCTTAAATAACAAAGTTTTAAAAACATTAATATACCAAGAAAACTGCTGTAGTTGTGGAAAAGTTGGATTTTGTATATACTGTGCATAACATTGTATGTATATGCATTTTAACACTCAAAACACCCATTGTGATAGTAGTTTCCAAAAAGTATCGATGTCCCTCTGATGATGGTCTATAGGGACCGCAACATGTGAGGGTGTTAAGTTTTCAGGTAGTAAAAACTTCAATAGTCACACTGGACAGAGTTGTCTTGTCTTTGTAGCTTAGCACCTGTTTATCACCAAAATGACAGGGTACATAAGAGATAAAACACCACCCCTGTGCATTAAACAAGTGCAACCCCAAAGAGAGAGTGAGGCTACAAGCTACCAAAATAATACTGAAGGCCATCTAACACAGCTACCACGGTGTAGTTGCCGAACCTAGTGGTGTCAACTACACCTGCAGTCCCCACAAACAGAGTTTCTCAGATGACTGCACTACAGAGGCTGCATTATGGTCTAGGAATCAGGCAGGGGTTGAGTGATTAAAATTAAATTTCTGGTGAGGTGAGGGACCTTTCTCTAACACATCACAACCAAATTGAGTTTGGGGCCCACTCAGCCTCCAAAGCAATGAGAACTTGAGGTTCTTTACCTTGAGTGCTACAGCATAAAGTTGACAATGCATCTCACTCCAGTACATGTTAATACATGGAACTTTCCTTCCAGGTCCCATATATACCTTCATAAGATTATGGCTAAGTACAGTATCATAGACCTTTTGCTTGATTATTATTACACCAAATGAGACATTCAAAGATGATTATGAATAACTGTAAAGGATAGAGCAATTTCATCCCACAAACTCACTTACTTCAGAGTGAATGTACATAGTTGCTCACGTGGCCAGTAAGTTCCTTCCTTTTATGAAATCAAAAAATTCATTACCCATTCACAGAAAGTTGCTACTGGACTTCATTCTCACACACTCATAGACCCATTTTGACGTTATCTTCACACCTACAATTAGGTCTACAGTGTGGTCTTTCAGGCTGTGGATTATTTATATAAATTCTGTATTTCTCACCTCAAGCGTTCTACATATTCTGCCTAAATTTCAGCCCATATTAAAACAATATCCTAGTTCTCACGGCAGTGACTATAAACATCACTGTCTTTCAAGACATGTTATATAGTCCGGTAAAGCACTGCCAACATTCCAAAGAAACCTGCTGCCTCCATCTTCAGGGTAGTAGAAAAACAGAGTACCCTCCTACTCTCAAGATGGTGGACGCATGGTTCTCGAAAGTGCGGGTACCAGTCTACCACAATACTCAGTATTACATAACAAAAAAACAACCATTTTCAACTCCCCTCCCCAACTCTGACAGAGATTGGGGAGGGGAAGATTAAGACCACTCCTTATTTCTAACTTTATTTGGGGATAGGGAGATTAAGGCCGTGCCTTGCTTCTAACTTTATCTACAGGAGCTCAGCTGTGAAGCTCATGAAAGCACGATGAATACATAAAGAGTTCAAGAATGGGAGTGCATAAAAACTGTTAAGAATGTGATTCATTTGAGTTAAATCCCAAAGGCACTATAACTGAATTCTGAAGTATTCTGATGCAAGCAGAGTATATTAGTCAGCAGTTGTTCGTTTACCGACATCATTATCAACCACGTATAGTTGCAGATTATCATCTTCATGTAAATATATTTGTATAAAAGGTGGAAACTAATAAATTCATACCTAGTTGCATTTGCTGTAAACCAGAAGGAGCCTTCTGTTCGAACATCTTTAAACATGTCCATTCTATTATAAACATTAACTTACTGTTTATGGAAACTTCTAGCAATGTCAATACACCTCTTCTCTTATCAATATCATACATTAAAAGCACCTAGTCATAACACATAAGAAAACATTAAGCACAAAACTTAATATACATATACTGTCCTTCACCTTTGAACTGCATTTCCCATTCTCGGACTGAGTCCATTTCCATCGTATTTAGATCACTCAAATCGTCATACTCATCCTTCGCGCTCACGACTGAAAACGTCGCCAAACCTCGTGATGCGTCGCGTCCACCGAATGCAGAGTATGGGCCCCCTGAATTTTAAAATGAGAAATACTTTCTTTCGGTAAATCGTAAACACGTATTTGTGACAACACATTACATTTCTCACACTGGTGATAATATAAAATCCTATAAATCCAAACTTACTACTGACATGTTAATTACTGCAAAAGAAACGGCGAGTAATCAACAAAAACTGAAATAACACACTACCTGTTATAATACAACCTGCATTAACTATATTCTACAATACCTTGCCCATAAAATCGTTTGCCTTTTGTTACATCAAACACTTTCCCGTTGACAGCAACAAGAATTCTGCCGTCTGGCCCCTTTCCATCGTATTTCTTGAGTTCTTCCACAGTAAAATCCTTCCTTAACTTAGGAAGTTCTGGTTCCGGTGGAATAGGCTCAGGAATATTTTGTCGACTTTTCACAATCTTATACACCAATAATGTAATTACGCCGAGAAGTGCAATATTAAGAGGACTTCTGATAATTTCGAGAAATAAACTTGGAAACAGACCGCTACTTTCAGACGACACGCTTCCCTCCGCCATCTTGATAGCTTTTACCGCTTTTACGTCGTCATGCCCGTCATGCCGGTCATGCTCTCATACAAGTATGTACAACAAAGTGGAATGTTGGGTAATAAATTCATGGACAGCGCTGAAGCTAAAAAAAAAAACGCAATTAGATATAGATGACCATGACCACCAAGACCAACGAGAAGTTCAATTACATATGAGTACTGCGATAGTTATTAAAATACATTTGGAAAACACAAATTTTTAATGTTGTATTTGACGTTCTTACACTGACGACTAAGAATTGTTCTGCATTCCCTGATGTAATGCCATGCAATCCGATTAAAATAGGCCGACGTTTCAAAGAAACACCACCAGCTTGGATTACATTTCGACCCGTAAGATAACTGAGCAGCGTAGTTGATTAAGTAATTATGTTACAAGTCGGAAAGTCGCAGGTTCGATTCCCGATGAGATCACTGCATTTTTAAATTGATCTAATCCTTCCGACAGCAGTATGGGACTGGGAGCTAATCAGAGTCTAACAGTAAGGGTCGGAAATGAACAAAAATTACTATTAGGCTACTAGGATTCTTCTTGTGGGAATAAAGGTTGGCCGGTGCACGAGGCTGACTTCATCGCCATCTGTGAGGCGATTGTCACACAATCATGTGGTCCTCCGCGGCCTGTTACGGGAGTAACAGGGATAGCTTTACTTTTTTTACCCAGAAGATGGTGGCAGTTTGCTCAGCCAAAACGTCGGTAGAATTCACCTAAGTATATGGCGGTATATCGCAAAAGATACAACTCTGCAACTTTTGAAGTTTTAATTGATCATACTTTCACAAATCCTGTTTCATTTTCAGTTGAGAAGCCTCTTAACTACAAAAGGGCATGTTGAAACATCAATATTAGAATACTACAAAACATCATTTCATAACTGCTGGAGGATTTTGGTAGTGCATTATATGCACTGGCACTGGAAGGAAGAAGCCAGGCATTTGCTCCCTTGCCCAGGATTTTGAAAACAAGAACTTAAAATTGAAGAAAAGAAGGAAATATGTAGTTTGTAATCAAATTTTCTGTCTGCACCCACTGAAAACTGGCTCTCCCCTTGGAAACATTCTTGGAATCATCTATGACTATGTCAAATACATACATACATATTTATTTCGTTCCAGAGATCTACAATTGGCAGTGCTGCCTTGAGATATAGAACATGTCAATAAAAAGTACATTTAAAATGATAAATTGTTAAAAATTAAATATCCAAGACATTTAAAAANGGAGAGAAGGAGATAAATGAGTGTATGCACTGCAAGACGGTTTAAATAAATCATGGACTTAAATCAGTGCAACAGGACGCTAAAATATAACATCTATGACTATGTCAAATGGGAACAGTGTTCTGTTTTTTTTTGGGGGGGGGGCTCTAGACTAAAATTTACTGGCCTAAAATCTGGAAACTGTAGAAATTATTGAAACCAATCTCTAATAGAAAAATATGATCTCATTTACTGCTTCTTAGCGGCCTCCGTAGTCTAGGGGTAACGTTCCCACCTCATGACTCAAGGTATGTGGGTTCAAAAACCCGGCGGAGGTCGTGGAACTTTTAAGGGCGGAAAAATTCAGGGAACAAGTCCTCTGGGAGGGACTTCAANNNTAGATTTACGGCACGTAAAAGAACCTCATGTCTCTAGGAGACCTCTGAGCAAAATTAGGCCAAGTTTCCCGCCCAACTAGTTTCCAATTCCTCCAGTAGATGGGGGAAGTATCAGGTACCACTGCCAGAGGAGGGGGGACCTCTCTGACAGAAAGGGACTAAAGTATTAGATACCACTGCCAAGTAGAGGGTAGAAACCTTGCTGGCAGAAAGGGACTAGGAACCCCTGCCAGAGGAGGGACGACCTCGCTGACAGAAAGGGACTAACTATTAGATACCACTGCCAGTAAGAGGTTGGAACCTCACTGGCAGAAAGGGGCTGATAGTAAGCACCAGTACTGGTAGGGTATGGAGAGAGTAGAAATTAAAGGGGGACGCACAATGGACCAGTAACCGGTCTAAGTGCATGGGGAAACCCACCCCCTCAATACTGAATACTGCTTCTTAGAAATGCTCAGTTTTGTGTCTCATTAAAGGGGCTTTTATTTGTACAAGAGTTAGGAAACAGCTAAGATGTAGCAATCTATTCAACTTTAATTACTTTACAGGATTTTAGAAATTATATGAATTTTAACTTTTGTGTTACACTGTTCTTGAGGTCAGTTGTGACATAAACATAGCTTACGGTGAAGAGTAAAAACATTTTCAGTAAAATGTATCATGAAGTTAAATTTATTTAAGTTAGGCTGACTTTTGGATGTTCCAGTGAACATCTGTCTGCAGTTTTTCAGTGGTTCTTGGTTAGTCTGATTGGGTTACTTTAAGTTAAGCCAACCTTTTTCAACTTGTCTAAGCAACTGATAACTCAGGTGCTTCATGACAGTGTGGACAGAGGCGGTAAGTTCTTTTAACATATCCTTAAACTTCTATCAGAACAGTGCGTCACATCTCAGTTGACAGTACTCTTCAGATTTCTTGAACTCCAGTCAACTTTGTGCACCATACTGCACCCATTTGGGTAATATTAGGCTTATTTGGGGCATGTTTGTCATTGATTTAGTTAAGACTATGTTGCCTTTGTCTAGTTTGGCATTAAGTAATTTTTGTGAGTTGTTCAGAATTACTTGGAAATACTCAGAATTACATAGAGCTTTTCAGGGTGGAATTGATTCAGGGTTACTTTATTTCTGGCGAGCACTGGCTTCTGGAATTGACATCTGAAACTGAATCTTATCTGGTGTTGAAATCAGTTAAAGCAACTTTCAACTGAGATGTGACGCACTGTTCTGATAGAAGTTTAAGGATATGTCAAAAGAACTTACTGCCTCTGTCCACAGGGTCATGAAGCACCTGAGTTATCAGTTGCTTAGACAAGTTGAAAAAGGTCAGCCTATCTTAAAATAACCCAATCAGACTAACCAAGAACCACTGAAAAACTGATCTTGATATTCGTTGTGTTGTGACGGTTTTAATAAAGAAGTTAAAGCATTGTGGGATACATGTTATGATATGCTACACTCTACTATTTTCTGTTTATTGTAGAGTTTCTGATAGTGGATTTATTAACAATGTAGGTATATGATTAAGTCTGTTGTAGTCTATTTTGTTCTTAGGCTGTGTTCCTGTGCTCAAAGCTCAGGAGAGGGCCATGAGTCAAATTTATATACCTGTCAGAATTGTGTCTATATTGTACACCTACAATTTTTCTGACATATGATGTATTATAAGTCTTAATAAATGGACAGAAGGAGACTAGTTTCATATGAAGAATATGGTCTTCTAGGATATGTTGCCATTTGGTTTGTCAGAAGTGTATTGATGTTTCGGAGCAATGTAGTGCCTCCAGCCTGGGGGTAGGAAAGTGGAACGGGACCAGTGGTGAGGTCTTGTGATGATGGTTATGAAACTTCAAGTTCCATAAATTGCTAGGGTTTCTTGACCACCTCAGGAACCATAGTTTCACATTGAGAATTACAACGTTTGCAGCCAAAAAGGAAGGACACATCACAGACACAGTAAGTACTACACATTATAACACAACACATAACAGATAGAAGTCTAAAGAAATAATAATAAGTACCATTTTTAAATTGCAGGTACACACAGAAACGGTTCCCATAATGGACGAACCATACTATATGCGAGTTTGAATTAAGACATATAGATGAATAATCTTAATAAATTTTATTATAGTTGATGAATAATGTACTTTCTAAATAATTTTATGANTATTTATAACTCTTATTTCCATTCTGTCATGTCCTATGGCTTGATATTCTGGGGTAATTCAGCTTCTGCTGAAAAGGTTTTTAGGATGCAAAAAAGAGCTATACGATTAATGGTTGGTTGTGGATATAAACAATCATGTAGAAATAGATTCAAGGAATTAAATATACTCCCTTTAAGAGCTCAATATGTATACTTACTGATGATGTTCGTTGTTAAAAATAGAGACAAGTTTGCTCTAAACAATGACTATCATGATTTATTAACTAGACGGAGAATGGATCTACATATGAACCAGGTGAATCTGGCTGTATATGGTAGGGGCGTGTCCCACATGGCGGTGAAGGTCTTTAATGCACTCCCTTATAATCTTAAAGAAATTGCTTCCATACCTAATCAATTTAAAGTCAAATTGAAGGACTTTTTGAGTAATAATTCCTTCTACACACTTGATGAATTTTTTAATAGATGATTTTATTTCGCTAAAGTAATTATTAATTGTTCACTTATTATTACAATTAACATAACAATATATATAAAGGGCCTTGGCAGAAATATGATTGCTTACTATATACTAATTGTTATTTTGAAATGTAATTATATTAATTTATGTATTCTTGAATTTATTTCTATAACTTGTTTTTCTATGTTTTTATTGTATCTATGTTAAGATTCAAACTTGACTATTTCCACATCTCATGGAACTTGTTTCTGTATGGATTTATGAAAATGAAATAAATGAATGAAACATGCAGTAAGAAGTGACATATGAAACTGAGTGCACTACAAGACGGCCATTACATACATATCATGGATGATGGGTGAAATTATTTAGTTAGCAATACTGTACTCTGCCACTTAGGTCATCTATTAATTAAATAATTCCTTCTGTGGTTCTGAGTGACAACTATCATCCTACTTTGGCTAATAATCTGACCACGACCTCACCCCAATAACCACAAACCTGGCAGAAGCAGCTTCTTTCACTGACACACTGGTAATACAGTTCACTTCCATATGCTGCTGTCATCCAAAAGCTCAATATGCATTGGCATTAATTTGCTGTAAAAGAGTTCATAATCAGTAATTGCTATAACTCATTAAATAATTATAGAATAAAGTGTAGAACTAAAGGTAGGAAAATGAAGGAACTGAATACAGCTTGGAATAGTTCTAAAGTTTCATCTAAGAGGAATCCAAAACAAGTGGTATCCATGACAGTTGTGATTTATTTATTTATTACATGAACTTAGAAGTTTACTGATTTTTAATATTTTTACACTGTGACAACAAGAAAACGTTCATCTTCAGTTTCAACTTATCTTATAAAGATATCCTATAGTGGAAATGAAAGACAATTCCGTTGACATCATACAAAGATCAAAATTTCTGCCAATTTAATATGTGTACTTTTAGTATATGATGTAACAGTTTTAATATAAAAATCTACCATAACAATATACAGAAGTCTACATAATAGTAAAAACATTCTTACACTATGTACAAACTTCTAGGAAATTGATTACTACCATTTATTCAAATCTAAGATGATCTGATTTGCTTTCTCAGTGATAAATTCGAAATTACTACACACATCATCATTATGGCAATGTGTTCTATAAACTGTGTCCATATTGTGAAATTCTGTAATGTGAACCATATTTTTCTGTTGACTTCATGTTACAAGTGGGGATGCAGTCCTACTGAATTTTTTTCCAGCCCACAGTTATAATAAAAATACTTTTTTTACCCACTGTAAATAACAGCAGGTACACAAAAATAAACTCAATAATCATATAATGAAATCCTTGTCGAATAAGATGGGAACAGCGACCATGCCATAAGCACCCCCCCCCATATCACTGATGATGTAAACAGGCTCATTACTGATATCTTGCTCCATTAGTTTCATGCATATGAATATGCAATCTGAATTTCTTAACAAGGAATAATATATTAAAATAATAGTTCTGTCTGAATTTGTTGTTATATTGCATTTTATGTTCAAAAACTCTTAATCTGTATACCAATTTTCAAAACAATGAAATTATGGTCTGTATCATAAATTTTACAGTCAAGTTTTATAATTTCTGCAAGGACAAAATTTTGTAATTCAATATCTGTAACACGGAGATGCACTGTATTTTTGAATTTCTACAGTGAACTGCTTTATTTCGAAGAAAATTATGTGGTGTGACAGAGACACTTCCATGTACTGCAAATGTTGTGCTCAAGAAAGACTACCTGGTGTCATAAATAATTATAAAATGACTATATATATGAAAATAGCTGTAAATGTTATTCCTTCATATGATGATCAAGTTGCAACTGTGATTTATTGGTTTGTAAGAAAATGTTTGTAAACTATTTTAAAAGAAATTCAGATTACAGACAAAAACTTCAGTTCATCTTACACTTAAACAAATATGGAAGCAATAAAGACTGTACAAAATTCTACACTTTTATTCAATCATAAAATGCACGTTCGTCCCACAGATATTCAAGAAAACATAAATGTCATACTTGCAGAATTTTACATATGTCAGGCATAAACTGTTATCAGATTGAAACAGCATCATGAAATGGAATAATCAGTTTAGGTGTGTGATCATCACTGATGTGAACATATTGATGGGTTTGCTTATGAATGATTAGTTGAATATTACTACTTTATTTTGTTTGCCTGAAGGTGTAATTCAGAACTATGGTCTCAAAAATACAAGTTTATGATTTAAACATTAGTAATAATTCACAATGTGGTATTCTGGGCTGTGACACAGTAGTTCTGTGGGTAGATACTGAGATTTCAAAGGAAATGTCTGCCTCCATCTTCAGGGATAAAGAAAAATTCCTTCAGTTCATAGGAAGGTGGTCACTGAGATCCAAGGGAGGGATCAGAAAATGGCGAACAGAAATAGTGAATGGGAAGGTGGCCCTTTTCAGGGTCTCCATTTCCTTATCCCTTCCCTTGGATCTCAGTGACCACCTTCATATGATGTGCATATATAACTGAGCTAATTTCTTATCCTATAAACTTCAACCCTGAAGACAAGTTCAACATATTCCTTTGAAAAACTGGAATCCGTGTATAAGACTACATGGTGCCATAATTCAGAAGATCACATCCTGCCTAAAGATACTGTGAAAAATGATACAATTTATGTGTCATCACTGGCAATCAATATCATTCTTTTTCTTAAAAAAAAAAGTCAGTACCTCATTCAGTTTTACTCATTAGTTTAACTCTTTCCAAGCTTCATCCAGGAAAATGGTCTGAATTTATTTGCTCTTTGACAAGACCAGTAATATTATATATCCTGCCATCTATAAACATTACAGTTTTTGCCTTTTTTTGACATTTTGTATATTATGTGGAAACATACTAACAAAATATGTTTCTTTAAAATTGAGTGTTGAAAGTGTTAAAAGTATAGCATACGTTATACTTACAGTGGACTGTTATGGAAACAAACAGTATCAATCATTTTCACACGTTCAAATGTTCACATCTATGATAATTCTGAAGTATACAAAAGACAACTGGCTACAGGATGTTATGAATACCCTGTTTTGTCAGCCACATATAATTATAAAGAATTTTCACTAGTTTTACGGTCTTCAACGTGTTCAAATACTTCATTGCAATAAAAACTTTAAGATTATAGACACACTATCAAAAAGATAGTTGTAAGAATTTTGTATAATTAATGTGGCACAATTATTAGCAAGAAATTGGTTAAGTTCTGGAAACCAGTGTAAACAATTGTTGAGAAAAAGGAATAGAACATCCTACTTTGAAATTTATGAATAATGTGAATGCCTTGTGAACAGCAACTTTGTATTTATACAAGACAAAGGAAGGTAAATGGTAAGGCTGTCCTTGTGCTTAATTAAATCACAACACCATGCAGATACACAGGAGAACGGAGGCATAGATCCACATACATCTTAACCTTAGCTTTGGATGGAGGTAAGTGGTCAGCTTCAAGCTCCTGCTTTATCCCCAGGGGAAACAACCCCTGGTACCCACAGGCAGGAGGCTGGGTGTGCTCCAGAGCCAGCCTGGATGCTGCGAAGAGTAACATCTCTTGTCTCTGCTGGGAACTGAACCATGATTCCTTCGCTGTTCAGTCTATAGCCCAGTTACTGTACTGACTGAGCTATATTGGCTCTGTGCTCAAGACACACCAATAGAACATGTTTGCTGTGTACTGTCTGTATGGTATAAATATTTTATTAACTTCAAGAGAAGGTTTATGTTTTATTTATTTGTGGATTTTAATGACATTTTCAGCAAATATAGTTTATGTTTTAATATCTGGCTATAAAAATGTTATGAGAATTATAATCCAAGTGGGAGGCACTTTGTACACAATGCCTTTACCACAGACTTACAAAATAAATTCTGTAAGAAGTTTGAGCAAATCTTCTTGTTCAGTGGTTCAGAAATCCATTCATTTTACACATAATCGCAGGTCTAGCACACGATATTGCATCAAAAAATATTTAGTGGCTAGTTTAATTAAAACAGATTTGCAGAAAGTCGTCTTCTGGGATCTGGCGCCAGATCCCAGAAGACGACTTTCTTCATAGTCATCGCCGTGAAAACCTCGAAACTTACATAAAACAGATTTGTTCTAATTTTGTAGATCCTCATCTTATTACTGACTAAGTTAAGTTCTGTTCAAACACATTGCTTTGTAAGGCAGATTCAAAAAGTTCCTGGGCTGTTACAGATGAATAATCAATCTTAATCCATCAATAACAGTCACGCTATGGAATCTATAAGAAGATTCTTAAAACAGATATATTTAAGCTCTGAAACTAAATGAAAATATAAAAAGTTATATAAATGTCATGGAAATATTTTATACTATCATACATGGAACTTTTTGAACTCCCTTAGAATTTGAGTGACTAATGCACTATTTGACAGAATATTTACAAACAAATTTAACCGCTTCAGTAGTAATTAGAAGTCGATTTTTGTTCTCTTAAAATATGAAACACATTGTTATTGCATGAAGAAATCCATGAAGAATGATCCGCAAGTTGCTCAAATCTTCTGAGAAACACGAGAACCACATGTGGCAGCTATTACACAAACTACAGAAATGTCAGGATATAACAGACACTACAATGCATTGAGCCTGATAGTTTTCAAGTATAGGAACTGAGAACAAATAATGAAAATACTCCAAGAATACCACTGAAGCAGTTAATGCAATCAATTGTTTCAGAATTAAATCTTCCGTTTTTAAAAATTACAATTTAGAATTGTTTTTTATTTTAATAAAGTTCCAAATTAATGAGAGATTTTATGCATATTACAATTTTATTTGAAAGCTACAAAAGACTAGCAGCTTCATTTATATGGAGCACTGGAAAAATATGGTTTATTTTACAACCTGTGCCAACACTTGTGTCTCAGAACATGAAAGCCCCATAATATTCCACATGTAGAAGGCGTTACATATTCAATCTTGTCTCTCTATTAAGGCACTTTTTCCATACTGTACAAACCTTTTAGTTAAAGGAAAGCAGTATGACCAGTTATACATATACAGTGAACATAAATATGTAATTTTTACATATTGTTTCAATGTAATGAGCTCCAGATAAATGTATTTCAAGTGCATTAGGGGGCACTTCTTTGAAGTTCTGAAAATGAATTGTGGTAACATTTATCTTGTTACATCAAAGGAACAGCAATATGTGATATGTGTGGAACTGCATTATGAAGTAGCATTAAATGATGGCTGTGATGAGCCTGGCTTTAAAGTTGACTATTCTTTCACTGGTCTGAGCTAGGCGCTGAAATAGAAAGAACAGAATCTGTTTAATTTTTGGAGAATGCATTGTTTAGCAACATGTTCATATATTATATAATACTACTGGAATACCTGTGGAAAATGTAATGGGCAAATTTGAGAATTATTATTATTGAAGGGGGTGGGTTTCCCCATGCACCGCGACTAATAGTCTATTGTACGTCCCCCTTTGATATTCTACCAGTTGCCATACCCTGCCGGTACTGGTGCTCGCTATCAGCCCCATTCAGCTAGCGAGGCTGGCAGTAGTACCTGATAACCTCCCCATCTACCGGAGGCATTGGAAATTACATGGGCGGGAAACTTTTTGCCTAATTTTGCTCAGAGGTCTCCTAGAGACATGAGGATCTTTTACGTGCCATAAATCTATGACACGGGATCCACGGTTTAAAGTCCCTCCCGGAGGACTTGTTCCCTGAATTTTTCCGCCCTTAAAAATTCCACGACCTCCGCCAGGTTTGAACCCGCGTACCTTGAGTCATGAGGTGGGAATGTTAACCCTAGACTATGGAGGCCGCTCAAATTTGACAATTACCATTTCTCTATGTAGTTGCCACAGACAAATCTTCCACTGACCCACTCTTACATATTAGTGCTGTTATGGACACTTTGACATAACAGCTTAATTGATTATGCATGCTATGATCCTGAAAGTTCTGGAAAGGTAGCTTCATAGAATAAGTATAACAATCACTCTAGACTTGTATTTGGGAGGCACATGGTTAAAATCTCAGCCAGGACACCATCCATAATAACAGAGGCTTTTTGTGGTCTTCCTCAGTCCTTGCAGGAGAATTCCAGGAAAGCACATTACTTTGGCAATGTAAGTTCCTTTAAAGTTCTTTCAAATTCATCCGTCATCCTACCCTTTAACACTACACAGTTCAGATACTGATGGCATTTTAAAATAAAATACACACACAAAAACAGATACATCTGTTTGGCAGAAGTCAATACTGTAATGCCAAATGATTACACTAATATTGACTGAAATCTTTTGCTTCTGCTGTAATTACTTTTAAATTTGGTTTCTAAAGAAATAACACAATGAAAAGATTTTTGACAAACACTGCCCAACTTAGACTAATTATATGTAGGTAATACATCAGGAATGAAAGGCACTACATGTAATTCAGTTGTTTGGTGCCCTATATGAAGAAATTAAATATTTAAGTCCTCCTGATGAAGGCAACAACAAAACAACAACACCACACAAACCTGTCAAATGCCAGAATAGTACCTAAATTAGGACATGAGAACTTCCTTTAAATTCCTCTCCAGTTAATCTACTATCATACAATCTGACTGAAAGCACCATAGAAATTCTACAATAATGGATACTGTCTATCATCATGATGTGTGCTCTTTTGAGCAACAATATTGTTAATCAGAATGACTGGGTTTTTGAACTTTTTCCATTGTCTGCTATTCTAGAAACTAGAAAACACGACTTTTTGGAAACAGATCCAGTTTATTTTTTTTTATTGCTAGTGGGGTGGGACTAAGTCCAGTGTACTGTGGCCACTTCTGGCCTATTGTACCAGCCCCACATATTAGGTGAGGGTGATTGTGGAGCAATTGGTGGAATGAAGATTGGCAGGGGAAACCGAAGTACTCAGAGAAAACCTGCCCCAGTGCCACTTTGTCCACCACAAATCCCACTTGACCAGACCCGGGATCGAACCCGAGCTGCCAAGGTGGGAAGCCAGCAACTAACCGCTTGAGCTATGGCGCAGCCAACAGATCCAGTTTCTGAAATGTCATGTTTTCTAGTTTCTAGAATATTAGACAATGAAAAAAAAGTAATTCTGAGTGTTATACATCATCGTTAGAACCCTTTAGAATCTAATATGGTTACTATTCTGCTTAAAAGATGACTAAATAGTATACAAATACTGTATATTACAAATATAAGTTAAACATAGATCTTTAAAGAATCTCAGCTGATATCCTTCTATAGTGTCATTTGCATAATAATGTCCTATTAAGCATACTTTGCTGTAACATCCCTAATATTTTAGCTGCAGAATGCTGTGTTCTCAGTATCACTTACCAAGATGAGGTCCTGTACCAGATTAGCAATACCTCTGTTGACAACAATAAACAACCTTGTAATGGGACCTGGAATTCCTGCTTGGTAGCCATCATCCTTCTCCGCTTGCACTGCTCCTGACACTTCAGCTGGCTTGCCATCATCGCCTGAATCAGTGTTGCCACTACCAGCTACCAACTGCATCACAATATGAAAATTATTTCATGCAAGCAACAGAGTCACAGCTGTGGATGGACATTGAGTTTCATGTTGAACATTCCTTCTCAAGGCATTCACTGACAGTGAGAGATATAAACTGAAAATTGCTCTCTTCTGGGGTCATGTTGTCTGCTATAAAGGTCCCAAGGCTACAGAGGAACCTGCTTCTTCCATCTTCAGGACAGAAAAGTAAGCTGTACAGCAAAACAAGGGTACATATGTAGGGAGAGGAGGAAAAGGAATGGAGCTGTCAGGGTATCAGTGGACATTGGTGATCCTTCTGAAAGGGGAGCAAGTAAACATGAGGGGACAAGACGAGAGAAAATATGTTCTGAGGTGGGAAAAAAAGAAGTTCTGGGAAGAACTAATCTCCTACTTTCTTTCGATATGACACAGACTGCATAAAAACGATGCATCTAGCAATTAGTCTATTTTTGCATGTGTATTTGTTGCTGCGATAACAATTTTTACTGAGCCATTACCTAGCAATGATAGGTGGAGACACATAGAGAGACACAGACTGATGGGCGAGATGGAAGGGAGTGTGCCACTGAGACAGGCTCAGGGGCCATGGCATATATACCAANGTAGTGTGGAGGAGGAAAAAGAAGCAAAAACTACAATAAAATTGTTGCGCTTAAGACGGTATTTGTACATATATATTACTTTTTAATTTTTAAGAATAAGGAAAGTACACTATGGGGTCTCCAAATAGAGTTTACAATAGACTGATCCATGGAGTCATGTGAAAGAACAACTATGCTTAATGCAGGTGAACCTGCACATCACCATCCAGAAAGATGGGCAAAAAAAAAAAAAAAAAGACGGCAAGAAGGAAAGACAGTAAGTGGGGTCCTGCAAGTAAGCACTGTACTAAACAGCTGAATCATCTGCTGAAAAGGGTGAGTGGTAAAACCATGAATCATCCAACCTTCCTCTTACATTTCCTCCTTGAGAAAATTTTCCTTGTCTCCTTTGCTTCAAATGTTTGGCCTTAGACTCTTACGAGTCATTGCCTCCCATTGGCCAACTCCAGCCCTTCCTTTCACTATGCCAGTATCCTCGTTTTCTCATGTGGCTTACATTTTTACCCTAAAAATGGAGGCATTAAGTTCCTCCAAAATATTAGTGCCTCCTTATGAGGTTACACAACATCACATCCCAGAAGACAGCAATCTTCATACTTGCAGCACCTCAAACCTCACACAGATATAAACTGTTCGGCATGGAGTTTTAATCCTGGCAAGAAGAATGTACATTTTTACGTACTCTTTACAAGAAGTGCAACTCATATTCATAATAGGGAGTCCATGGATCTCTATCTGTCTGCATGTCTAAAATTACTGGATGGATTTTAATAACTTGAGTAATGATCAGATGTACACTGAAAATTTCAGGGTTAATATGATTGCAGCCCAGTGTTTCAACAATTTCCTCATAATAATTCATTATATGAAGAACTGATGATATAAATTCAGACCCAGTAAGGTCTACAACTTTTGTTTCAAACAATCTTTAAACAAAGTCAGAGTCTCTTTGGATGACAGCCCATATAGTTTTGTAGGTACCAACATTTTGGAGGAAGCTGTTGCCTTCATTTCCACTGTTCAATCTCCTGTTCCAAACACGAACCCGAAAATGTTGGTACCTATCTATCAAACTACATGGCATCTCATACTAGAGGACTGCTACATTAATACTCAGCACGATAAGAGCCTGAAATCCTACACTTCTGTAAATTGTGCATATGTAACAAAATGCAAAGAAAAATGTAATGTATCCTCAACATTGACATGTACTACTAATTTAGCAATTTTTAGACTTATTGGCTTCATATATCAAGCACATTCCTTATTACAAAATTTGGAGAGCAAATATCTAACTTATGGCATGTATGTTGCATATTATACAATTATTATGTCTAAGCACTGGAGGAAGATGTTAGGTATCTTCAAGTATAAACATTTATGAACTTCTACTACTAATGCATGACAATATATATATTTTTTTAAATATTCTCTCTCCCAGCCAGACTCTGTTGTAGCACTAAATAAGAGGCATACAATATTCTATAATTTTCTGTAAAGAGGTACACATAAACTAACATATTTCATCTTTCCAGACTTCCACAGGTGTCATTTATTTAAAAACACTTAGGTTCTGAAAGTAACATAATCTGCAAAAATTAAAAATAAATAATTTTCTGAAAGTTTCATGAGTGCTATATGAATGTTTACCATGTTATATTCTGTAATTAACCCAGGAAGACCTGAACTGTAAATTTCATGGCTACAGAGTCATTCAAATAATATAAATATCATCATCTGCAAATGATTTTCTCATTTTTGTAACACAGTTAACTAAACTACCTGACTCCATGAAGCTGAGCACTTCTTGAGAAGCTGCCAATTGTGCAGCTACTCAAGAATTTCCCAATATTTTATGGAACCAAAAGGTTCATTACTGTGCTCACAAGAGCCCTCCACTGGTTCCTATCCTTAGCTAGATCAATTCAGCCCATACCACACCATCTTGTCCAAGTTCCACCCATGGCTTGGTCTTCCTAGTGGTCTCTTTCTTTCTCGCTTTCCCACCAAAATCTTATATGCATTCCTTTTCTCCCCATGCATGCTACATGCCCTATCCATATCAACCAGTTTAACTTCATCATTCTAATTATATTTAGCAAACAGTACAAGTTATGAAGCTCCTCATTATGTAGTTTTCTCAAACCTCCTATCACATCATCCCTCTTTGGTCCAAATATTCTCAACATCCTGTTCTCAAGCACCCTCAGTCTACCTATGTTCCTCCCTTAATGTCACAGACTAAGTTTCACACCAATACAAAGCCATGGGCAAACTTATAGTTTCGTATCCTCTAAAATTTTAAGTTTTTGCACAGCAAATGAGAAGACAAAAAGTTCTGGAATGAATGGTAGCAAGCATTGCTCGAATTCAACCTCCTGTCAATTTCCTCCTTTGCAAAATCTATTAGCTATCTTTATGTCATGATTTTGCCTTGCATTCTGGTGAAAGACAGCAACATATACTTAGTTTTCTCTGTATTTGCTTCTTGACCAAACTCCTTAACAGTGACAGCCTTCATGTGTTTTTCTTTATGGTATCAATGTTATCTCCCAGTAGATTTACACTGTCAGTATAGACCAGCAGCTGATGTGTCCCATTTAATTTTACTACCATCTGGTCTTCCTGGACCAGCCCAATGGCATATTCTAAAGCAATGTTGAAAAGCAGTGTCAATAAAGCATCTCTTTGTTTTAGACCATTGTGGATAGGAAACATGACAGACAAATATTTACCTATAAGGACCTTACTGTAGGTTTCATTTAAACACATTTGAATTAGCCTGACTAGTTTCATGGATACCTCAAACTCTGTTAAAATATAGTACAGTACTTCCCTCCTAACTGAATCATAGGCCTTCCTGAAGTCACGAATAGTTCTGAATTTTTACTGATTACGAATGCAAATTTTAATTTACAGTGATGCGATTTTGTTAACATTTAAGCTATATCTGCCAACAGAATATATAATTATTGATTTGTCATGTCATATTCCATTAACATAAGGGTTCAAATTGGTTATTTCTAGCTGACAACATGCAAGTGTAAAAGAGACAGAAAGGGAAGGATTATTTTTTAAAAGCACCAACAATGCTATCAAAAAAAACTTGCCTAACTGCACCTGTGTTCTTCAATTGGCTATATCAGTTTATAATTCTGATCTACTGTTTATACCAGAATCTGACTGGTCACTGTCATAAGTATAGAACTGAATAAATATGTTAATTAATTCATTATCCCATATGACAAACAGCAAAATGCTTTCATGGTGAACAGTATGATACCCCAACTTCCACCTCACTCTTCTTAGAAACTTCGTGTAACTGCCCCTTGTATTCCTTAGCTTGCACAGCTGGAGACAGAATAAATGAAATTTAGGAAATTTCAGCAAGGCTGATTTCCATAAGACTGATCACAAAATATATACACTGATATATTGCAGGACATACCAACATATTTAGCAACATGAATTGACAAAATCTTAGAGTTCACAAATAAACGGATCTACCTCCTAAAGAGAATGCAGAGATAAACTTCTCAAATTAATGCTGAAATGAGAAGCTGAGAACGCCTGAAGACACCATCAGACAAATGAGTTAAGATGTTTATACTCCTTGATAATTTGATGATAATGAAGGCTGATATTTAGTCCAGGATATCCCTGGGTCATCATGCAATTATTCTAAAAACACATACAACCATGGATGTCGATGGTGGGTGGGGACTTCCACCACTCTCCAGTCTTTCGAAAAAATATATCAAAATTGAAGAAAGTGCAACATGAAAAATATTAACACAAAAAATTAAAATATTTAAAAATTATATACTTCCACCCTGAATACACTATGAAGATCAGAAAAAATTATCTGAAATGGCTTAAACATAAGTTTGTAAGCAAGGGTTCTAGCTGCCCATCTTGAACAGAATCCAGATGGCACCCATGCATGCATCTCCACACACTGTTTGCATTTTGTAATAGTCCTCTCTACTTAAGAATATCATCATAATCTATTTGCTTTGTAGAAGAATCTTACTTGCCATGATCAATGTCTCTCATGAATCACATAACTAACCAAGATATGGAATTGTACCTTACACTTCCCTGCTGCTGCTGCTGCTGCTGTTGCCACCACCATATTCATGATATGACATTACACAGTGCATTCAAATGCCATGGCTTAAATTGGTTTCTGCTGAATGAGTCAGGTAAAGATAAACTATTCCCCATGTCTAAGCATATTCATAAAAGCATAGAGTGCAGGGTTTTCGAACTATGCGATACAGCAAGAGAAATGCGACACATTCAACGTTATCATTATCTGCTGGCTGCAGACACACTTTCTGAAAGCATTTATATTAATTCTACCAACTTTCCAAAACTGTGGAAACATAA